CGCGTATCTCCCGAATCTTCTCTTGTAAATATTTGTACCAAGTGTTGTTTGCTTGATTTCAGTTTTCGTGTGTTTTTTTTTTTTTTAAGTGTCTGCGTTTGTGTGCGTGTGTAAATGTGATTTCTGATAAATTTATGCCAGAGAACAATATTTAAGTGTTGCGTCGGATTAAATTGATCTTTATCGAATGCCATTGCATTATCAATCAGCTGTAAAACACGAGTGATAATAATTGGCATGGTAACATATCGAATATTGTGGAAATCTTATCTTGTCACTATTATTTTGATGTGGTCATCAAGACGTCTTTAATATTAAAGAAAAGAAATGTAAAAACTACTGTACACAATTAAATCACACATTATATCTGCGACGCTCCGTTTGTTTTTAGAGTATATATTTATTATAATATTAACCCTTTGTGTTTGACGGCTGCCCTTTTTTTATTTTGTCACATATAAACTATTCCATATCGATTGCGGTTGAACTAAAGGACGTTTCGTTTTCATAGTATTTTTACTAAGTACCTAATTTATAATAGACAATTATCCAAGAAAATCGTTTATAATTTATTGAATTTAATAAAAATTTTGGTTGTATCTAAAATGTATACTATTGATTAGTTGTAAAATGTAAATTTATTGATTTGGCTATTTTTCTGGGTAGTTAAAAGAATATTAAACGCACCTCCATAGTTTCAGCAAAAATACATTTTATATTTACTGAGCCATAAAACCATACATTTTATTCATCGTTAAAATTGTAATTTGAAAAACATTTAAGTCCACAGTTGTGTTAAATAATTCCTTGGATTAATAAATTATTAAGTAATATCCTAACAATATTTCTGATTTTCTATTAATATTGTGTCATTTCGGGATTATTTATTTATTTTATCATTTAAATTTCAACAAAAAAATAAGCCATACATTCTCTATAGGAGATTATTAGTGAAGCTTTTTTACTTGTGAAAAATGTTCTTTAAACATAAAAAATCATAGGAATAAACATATATATCTTCATATTTTTTTATAATTATACCCATTTGTTAGTTTATCCTATTTATTCGTCTAATCAATAGGCAAAACATCTTCAAATTAACATTTGGATTCATTTCATTTATGCAGCTTTGATTCTAAAATTTATGGTTAATGTATTAATGGCTAAGTCTTGTAAGCCGAAAACTCCCATGTGATATAGGTATTTTGATACCATACTTGTTAAATATATATTATAGAAACATCTTGAACGATTAGGTTTCGTAGTTTTTATTTGTTAATAAATAAATATATCATTTCGTACTGATCTCGATGAATAATTTGACAAGATAACCAAATAGTTTTTTACGTTAGATTTGAAAAAAATATGAATTTTACGTGTACTTAAATATATATCTTAAATAAAAAAGTAAAATGCACGTTTATTAACGAGGAAAGTTCATTTTTTACTCATATGTTATTAATTAATGATTTTATTCTTACTTCAGTTGTGATAACCTTATTAATCAACATTTTCGACACAGTTTTGATGACTATTTGATCTTAATAAGTTCATTCAAATTAATTATTTACTTCCCATTATGCTAATTCTATAAGCTCATTCGTTGGGGGTAGTGAATGTTATTTCTATATTTGATGATAATGTTAGGGATTAAGTAATTGCCCTAAATATTTTACGTTTTCCCATTGGTAGTATTCAACTTCAACATTTATGTGTGGTGTGCTGAATGCTTTCATTGAAATAACCTCTAAAGTGATATTTGCTTGAAACTGATTTGAATTGCTTAATTTTGTACAAACTAAGATTAATACCGCCCCTTGTTTCTTATTCATACAATTTGATGTTTTTAAAGTTTCACTTAAAACTTTTATTTTAGCGCATTAAAACGCTTACAAAACAGAAATTCCATTTTATGTTTTTTCATAATAGTATACAGGTTTAACATTCACTAAGTTTGAGCGTAAAGCCTAATTTTTAAACTTTTATGCATTTTGAGTTATGTAGATTTTAGATATTGTTTTTGTATAAATATAGCTTTTTATCGTTTCACAGTTTTTGAATCTTACATTATTTTTGAGTTTTAACTGGATCATTGTGGGGTTGAAGTAAACAATACAAAGCAAAACATACACTTATTACTGTTACAATTTTTTCGTACAATTTTTATATGCAACATAAAAGTAATATAATAAAAATAAAGCGCTTGTGTGATTCATTACTATTTTTATAACAATAAATCGTTTGTAATTTATCTAAACTTTTTTTTCATTAAGAACACATTAATCATTTATATCACATTTTTACCCTGAGAATTATAAAATATATTTTAATAGAGAAATGTTTACTTAACGCTAACGATATTATGTATAATATATTATATCGTAATACTGAATTTTTATAACTATATAAGTCATTAAGTATTAAAACCCCGCAGGAGGTAAATTTAAAAAAAATATACATGTATAAACTGTGTGTGTATATATATATATATAGTGTTCAGTAAGTAAGGAAATGGGTCAATTATTATAGACAATGAGAACAATAGAAACCCGTTTCTTTACTTACTTAACACTTTATATATTTGTTACCTATTTCAAAATATGTTCCTTTAGTTAGTTATTTTCACATTTTGGCAGAAATACTACATTTTTTAAATACTAGCAAAATAACGCAAATTATATTATGTGGAAATGAAATTACTAGAGTACAACTATGTACATTAGTTGGTCCCCAATTAAAACTAGACAATTTATTATGCTACCTGAATTACTTAATGCTTCTCGAGTTTGTCCGCGTGATTAATGTGTTTACAGAAAAGCATTAATAATTGGCCCAGTTTTCTTGTGTGTAACTAGAAAACAAAAGTTACACTTATTTATATTAGTAATTATTATGTAATTAGCTCTGTTCCGTAATAATAATAAACTTGTTATTTGCAACTATTTATTATATATGTCTTTAATATGATAAAAAAAATTATTCACAAATAAGAATATTTTAAAGTAGTTAGTGTGTAGGTATCATGTTTAATTGTCTAAATGTATACAATTTGTATTAGCGAATTTTAATAATAGAAAAAAAAAACTTAAACATATTAGTAGTAGACAATAATTACTTTCTGTTTTCATGTATATTTTATTTTAAATCTGAGTATTTGAGATATTGTCATAAAGTATTTTACTTTTATATTTTATCTTTATCATAGATTCGATTAATTAAATTTCTATTGAAATAAATTCAATTTAAAATAATAAACGAAACTAATCACTCGAATATGTTAAGTAGATAAATGAACGAAACATATTATTGTAATATATATTATGTTGAAAGTAATACATGATCCGTTTTAACATGATGCAACAGATTGTGGTTACTTTCAACTCTGATTGCCATCAGAGATAAAAATTACAGCTGTCTTAAACAGTGAAAAGTAAACGTTTGTTAGTTTCATTTACCCGGTAATTCTAAATAAAATCTAAAATAGAAACAAACATTTTCTAGCTACGTCTTTTATTATAAATTTCACGTGATACAGTTCACATATCTCGACATTTTTTTTTGAAATTTAAGTATAAAAATACACGTATAGTTTTACATTTTAGCGTTTAGTTGATTTTATCTTAAAGGTCCTATCGATAAGCTATTTTAAGTATAAGAAAAAGGAAAAAGAAAATTTAATGATAAGTGAATATTTTCCTTGTCTGTTGTAATATGCTTGTACTATGAACATTTTTTAATTTTAGTCAAAGTATGACTTTTAAGTAATACTTCAGATTAGTCAGTATAACGAGAATTATTTTTAAATTATAAATTTCGTTTATAAAAATATAAAGTTTTTTATAACTATCAATTACTATTTTTACTATTTATAATTAAAAACTAAAAGTAGACACACAAAAAAAATTGCTGATGAAATTTCTTGAAAAAAAAAAAAAAATTTTCAAATAAAATAATCGTTTGATAAAATACTAACTAACTTATAAATATTTATTACATATCACTGTAAATTGTTGTATTGTCCTCTTTTGATAAATTTTATAATTGAATGAGATTTTTAAAATCGAATTAGAAAAAGTAATCAAATTAATGATTTTATTATAAGCCTATTAATATCAATCTTAAAGATTTTTAACTAGACAGTTTTCATAAATATATTTCTCATGAATTTTTTATACTTCCAAAAGTTAAGGACTGACACAAAACTTTTACTACCAGATTTACTTAGTTATTTAAATAATAATGGTACAATACTTGCCTTCACAGCTGACAATCCTTTTTGGTATCTCCAAACTAAAAACCTTCCTTCTCCGAACATTTACATCTTTTAAGAAATAAAAAAATACACCAACATTGTAATGTATCCTTTTTACAACATTGGTATTAAACAAACTACAGCTATCCGTTATTATTTTATACTTCTAACACTTGACAATAGTAGTAATTCAAGCTGGGCTAGTGGTACAAAAATGGAGTTATAAAAAATAATTTTAATTGGAGTAGAATATGTTCACAATTTAAATAATCACATAATAAAAATGTATTATTGTAGTGTTTGTTTTGTTTTCTCGACAAATACACAAATATATATATTTCTATGTTCATAATTCTGTTTACCATACAAGACTTGTCTTACTAGTCATTACACGGGGAAATATATAGGCATTTTAATGGCACTCTTGCACGCAAGAAAAAAAATACTTTTTAATGTAAGATATGGATATTATTTTGTGATTCGTTAAAAGTTATTTTGTTTTTTTTAAGTAGTATTGAAACAAAAAATATTTATTGGAGCGTCGCAACAGCTATCTGTCCGTTTTTTTCTTGCTGACAGACTGCTTATTTTCGAATGTGATATTAACTGTTAATTGTTTATGTGATAAGAATAGTAGTAATGGTTGTGGACTACCGATGGATACAACTATTGGAGTATACGCCGCAGTAATTATGGTAAACAATCAAATCATTTCGGCCTACCAAACGTGTAGCCACAGAATGATGGAAAACGCCTCTTGTGTAAATACATTATCGTGAGTCAATCACAGGAAGCAATAGCGTCTGTTAAATCCCATCGACCTGTGAGTGTGTCCGGTAAACATGGTCAGCACGTTGACGTCCACCGGATGTTGGCGTGTCTGTTATGCGCCGCTATGAATCGTGCCGAAGAAGTGCAGCTGTTCCGAAAGTCCAGAGAAGTGTCATTGAGGAGTAACAGTGGCGGAGCACATGGTGCAAGGTGTACCTCCAACGATGAGTTCGTTTTGAACGTGTTTAAGTCGAATGTCGCGGACGGCCCTGGTACGTTGGACAACAGCAGCGACGATGGGCCGCCGCCATCAAAAGGCAGATCCACTAGTGCCATGGTCTCGGCCGGTAAAGAAGTGGTTGAGCAGCAGCAACTCATACAAAGAGTACGGCCTCACCATCAAAGGCGGATGCCCAGGTTTGGGGAGGCACATCATCGACGGGTGCCGACGCCAATGAAGAAACGTCGGAAACCGGACTTTGCCGATCCGCCAACCCCAAGCAGTGACGTCGACGACACGGCCATTGTCGAAGTGGTGGCTACTAGCGATCCCAAGCCACCAGCTCCCGCGGGCGTTCCTGATCCGTACTATCCAATATACCTACCAATCGACCAGGCATTTAAGGCCAAGTACGTGTTTTGCCAGAGGAGAGGCAAGACTTTTCAAGAGCGGGTCTATGTGTTCTTAGAACACCCTTGTGGATGGATTTGTTTTATATACCACTTTGCTGTGTAAGTACTACCATGTTTATTTTTTAAATAAATATTTACAACCGCGGTATAATTTATAAAAACAAAAGGTAAAAACTGACCAACTTTTTTCAGTCGATCATTTAATGCCGTATATAATAAATAAAGAATGTGCAATTCAAGTTACATAATGGTATACACAATGAATGATCGTTTTAGTTTTTTCTTTAATTTTCGTAAAAATCTGAAAATATTTAATAGAGAAATTATGAAATTTATAAATTTGGGCAAGTTTTTTTTATTAAAATTCTAAAAAATATATTATATCGGTAATACTGATTGACTTAATGGTTAACATTAGAATAAAATTCAATTTTTTTTCTTATTATTATACTTTGCACAATTTCGTTTTATTAAATTCAAAATATACACTCTTATTTGATATCTAACCAATCCATTATTTGCATATTGGTATATTTTGTAGTTCGTATGGTAATGGTTTTATTATTGTATTAGGGTAGACTGTAGAATAATAATAAATTATTCATGCGAGCACTTCGTTTAATAATAATGATAATTTACAATATTATTTGGTTTCGTACTCCTATCAAATAGAAGAAAATAAAATATTAGTTAATATTACTAAGAAAAAAAGTTGATGGGAATAGGCATATTATAATATGAGAAAAATAATTGTCATATGCATTTATTCCCTTGTTTAACACATCACGAATTTAAACAACAAATAATTGTATTGTTCATTGGTCGTTCATACTTCCTTAGTAAATTGCTTAAAAAATTCTATCATGTGTAAATATATGCTCAGGCTATTATGTTTATATATTGTATTACTATTCTATTAATGCCATTTATGTTGGCCTGTCTTATTTTCAGTTTGTAGAATATAACTCAAGTACTTGAACGTATTTATAAGATCGAAATCAGTAAATTTTTAGACATCATATAACGTCGTACAATATTATCTTTAATAAGTTATTAAGTTTATAGTTAATATGTGTTAAGCAGTGGCGCAACGAGGGAGGAACTGAGGGTCTAACCCCTTCCCCATGGACATAAAGTTCCAGTAACACTACCGAAAGTTCGGCAGTGGAGGGATGAATTTGCCTTATATTTTATGTTCTAAAAGCTATCCGGACCCTCTATAAAAAAATTTCTAATTGTGCTACTGATGTTAATTAGCGTATAGTAAATAAAGTAAATTTATAAAATTGTAGTACTTTATGATATCCAATCTATTTAATAATTCAATTATTTATTTGATTATGTGATAATTAAATTTGAAAATTCATAATAAAAATTTTATAATTATAATTTATAATATATGATGATATAAGTTCAAAGAATATCACTTAAATTAACTCGCATTAAACAATAATATTATTAGTTTTAAAAGAAAAGTTAGTTTATTGGTACACTTCAAATTTCTAAAACTTTTAGCTGACAAACTTCATTTAGATGAAGTACGCAGATTTTTCAAATTAATAATTCATATACAAATCAATGACATAATATTTTATATTTAGTAGAATAATTAAATTGTTAAATGATTTCATAAGTTAAAAATATATATATAACAATCACAATTTTAATCGATTATTAAAAAGATAATATTTTTTGTTTTTATTCAAACCTATTTTACACATTTTTAAAAATTTTAAAAGGTATTATACAAAATGTAATTTTTGGTAAAATAAAATTTTAAATCTCAAATGAAAACGACGAATCAAAACATATAAAGGAAAAAATATGAATAATTTAAATTATGATTGGAATTACGACTATTATTGATAAAATTAAAAAACATTTATGCCTGATAAGTATTTAACTAATGAATTATTGCGCCGCAATTATGTTTAATTTTGATGATATAAACTGCTAATATTTTGTTGAGATTTAAACGTTTGCAATTTTTTTTTACTTATAGACTTTAAAAAAATCGTTTTTCAACTTATGATTTTATAATAACTATAAAATATACAGATAGAAGTTCATGAAACTGTAATTGTATCCATCATAAGTTTTGATAGCTATCAGCTTAATTTTGTAAAGTTAACAGTATGCTTACGTTTCTGAATAATGAAGCCGACTATGAATATTGTAGTCTCATTGGATACTCTCCAATTCTTAATAGACATATACAGTATATACGTCTAATAAGCATTGAAAAGTTATTTTAATTATTATTCAGTTTCACTCAAAATTAATGGACAATAAATTAAATCATTATGTTTGTATGCACAAATAAAATGATAAACCATAAGTTACAATGAATAAATTATGAATAATTAAAAAGTTTTTTTTTTTTTTGGTATAAAAACTAATTATATCTTTGATAAAGAAAAAAAATGATTCGTTACAATTTGAAATAATTTTTATTGCGAGTTCGACGAATGATGTAAAATGTATTTTAAATCGAGTTATACATTTTTATTCCTTTTTCTACATTTTAATTCTGAATTGTAGTGTTGTAGACTTATCCACAGATTTCATGTACAATATAACTTTTTTGGCAATGTGTTATTATTGTTATACAGGATTATTGACTATAATAAATAACCAGCCTAAGGAAAAGCCGTAAATAGTAATAAATTGTCCTGTTAGCTGGTTGATGGGCTAGTTGAGAAGAATGTGACCACGTGAAACATTTGCCAAGACCTATATATCGATCGGGTCAGACGGTCAAATGAACAAATTATCGTCTGTCGGCCTCATTATTATCATATTACTTATAAGTAATGACTATAATTTTTCCCTAAACTTTCGATTTTATGACTCCGATAATTTTTTTTTTTTTTAACTTAGCTCTTTTTTGGCAACTATAGTTTTATTTTTATGGTTATGATTAGTAAAACTTTTGACTGATACATGCTGTATAAGTTACGTAAAATATTATAAGAATAAAAATCATTTACTTTAAGTTATCATTTTTATAAAAAATGCTTATTAATTTTCCAGTTAATTTTTCCTATTAATAGTTGGCGTAAAGTATTTTGTTTTTATGTTATAATCAATTTATTCAAAATATTCTTGTCACAATGAATTAGTTTTTATAAACTCAACTTTTTAATATGATTAACTTAATTAAAGGTGTTTCGTATAACAAGTATCTAGTTTTGGAGATTAAAATACTTCAAGCGCAAATAATTGGTATTGTATAATTATATTTTAATAAGCTTCTCTTTTAATTGAATCCGTATTCCGGGATTATGTATAATAGGAATATTTACAAATTCATTGCGGTTGAACTGGCAGAAATTTGACATGTTTTAGAGTATGAGGTCCCCTTTAAGGTAGTTGCCTGATCTTTATCCTTTGTATTGACGAGTGACGTCACACCGCATTCGAAAACCGACCTTAATTATCGAAACCACCGGTAGCCAGGTTCGTCATAGTAACCTACCAAAACTATGTCTTTGATCCCTTATGCTCATAGTGGTTTCACGTATAGGAATAATGATGGAAACGTATAACACTTGGTCGTGTAAATTATATACTTCAGTTATTCAGTTCATTACCGCAATGATACAGACACACGAAGTTAAAAATAACAGTTATACATACTCGTAAGAGTTATTCATTCAAGACTGATGAAGTGCGATATTAAAAAAAGCAAAACAATTGTAATTACCAGCTACATTTAGAAAATAAAATAAATTATTCAATTTCTTATAACATAGAAAATCTTGTAATAGATTGTAAAATTTAATTTGATTTGATACGATATGTAATAAAAAATGGTCTAAAATCTGAAGTCTCATAAATACTAAGAAAACAGAAAAAGAGATGGTAAAGAAGAGAAAAATTAATTTCCGTTCTTAGTAATACGTATATTAATCGTATCCAGGAAATTGCATTTAGTTGAAACGCGGAAACAACTTTCAAGCATAATCTGAAGTAGGATCATATATGGTACAATGTTAAGAACTACCTTCAGTTTTCTTAAATGTACCCTGAGCGATATTATTGAAAATAATACCACCTCTTTTCGAACACATACAGAAACCACGGGATCGTTTAAACGGAAGATAAATTATGTAATTCAAATTATGCAACTCTCATAATTCTGGGTTAGCCTAATGACATTTTTCAAGTTAAATTTATTCTTCTTTTTTCTGGTATTATAAATACAATTATAAAAATGTTATTTCGATCAAATTATTTTGATGTTGCATCCAAATAATAAGTGTAAATTACGCGTATTAACTGTTTGCTTAACTACACTAAAATTTTATAATAAATTCGACACTCGTGTTAAGGAAATATAATTAACAATTTAAACATTTTAAAAAGTTCAACATATAAATTATAGTACTATAGAGAAAAAATATTGAGTATAATTAAAAAGTAAATAGATGTTTTCGGAAAAATATTATAAATTTGATGTTAAAATTTAAAGAATAAAATTTCGCCATATGTTCTATTATCTAATCGTAATGTTTTATCTAGTGATGAAAAGTTAATCTGATTTAGTTTAACTTTTTGTGTCATTATGAATTTTAAACATGATTTTATAAAGTATTATTTTTAAACTTTATAAAGTAACTTGTAGTTCATAAATTTGAGCATAAAACTAAAAACATTATTTTGTATAAATTTTAACAACCTCACTTAATAAATTATTCCTTACCATACGCGTAAAAAATTATTCATTGTGATATCTTTACATCCGTGAATTTCAGAAGCCAAACATTTTTATCAGAGTCAGATTAGAAATATCAATGTTAGCTTCGTTAAAAATAGGTTGCTTAACAAAGTCATGTAATAGAACATTTATAATATGGTCAATAACTCACTATGGTTTCATAGTAAAAACACCAATAAAATAGACAATATTAACGTAAAAATTTTAAATCCCTAGTAATTATAGTGCAATTACATATTAAATATAATAAGATATATAATATAAAACACAAGTTTTATGCAAGTTATTTACTAAATTATATTGTATTTCTTAATGCCACAATGATAACACAACAACATTTCTCAGAATAGTATAATTAATAAAAAAATAAGCAAAATAA